GTACACATTTGCTGCTGTTCATCAAATATTTACTTATAGTTCCCTGAGGAAACTGAACCATCCACTGGGTTTATAGGAGCCCTGCTGACATACAGGTTTTGGAAAAGACTAAGATGACTTGAAGAATAATATTCCTGGTGTAGGAGCAGTGTGAAAGTGGTGTAAGTGGGCTGAATGCTATCACATATTTGCCAGAATACAGGGTGCGCTGGGACAAGAAGGAGAGGCATAGCGCTTTCTGTTAAATTTCTGGCCTAAGCTCCAAAACAAACCACAGTTGCCGGAATCTGAGAGTTGCAAAGATGGTTTAAGGCCACGTTTCCCCACTTTCATCCTGGTTGCTCCATTTCTTTCACACGCGGAAGTCATCCCTATGTAACCATACTGGGCTTTTTTGTTTTTATTTCTTTACTCTTTTGATACCTAAAAGATTAAATAAAACTGAAACCAGAAGAAGGAAAAGATTCTAGGCTTATTGCTTTTCTAAGCTGCCTGCATGTTTTTGATGTGATACCTAGTAGGTCGCTTAAGGTTGGGAACTTTCTAGTTTTGATTGGGAAGGTGGCGGTGCTAGTGTACTGATGGAAAAGTGGCAAAGAGGCTAGACAAAATGAAATATTTGAGGCAGAACCAGCTGCTGCACCCAATTTATCTGCTCCTCTCCAATAGATTAAATCATTCCATGTATTAAGCATTCAGCGTCTTTGCCTTTAAACACCAGAGTCTCAACTCCTTGACTCTCTGAAGCTTTGCCAGAGATTTTTTTGTTCCATGGTTTGGCTCATAGCAGGGGCATGAAGAAATATCATGCCAGACACGGATCTCTGTGTCTTTATAAAAGCAAGCTGTGGCCTCCATAAACTTCTGCAACTTCTTAAAGAATATACCCAGTGGGGAAAACGTTTAATCAAGGATTTGTTTTTAGTGCTGTGTTCACTTGGCTTCATACTGAGTTGCAAAAGCCTGATGGTTTCTTGCTTATGCAGTGCTCTCGCAAGCAGAGAGGAAATTGGTGGTAGCAGCAGCGTGGAGTAGAAGGCTCAAGATTTAGGTTATGATCTCAGCTCTGATACTGGGTGATTTTGTGACCCTGGGCAAGTCACTTTGCTTCACAGTTCCCTGTCTGAGAAGAACAGGAGGGCAATACTTATAATGTGTCTCCCACGTGGATTACAAGGATCAGAAGAGCTCGTGTTTGTCTAGAGTGTCCAAGATGTGAGAGCTAAGTGCTCTTACGGAGCCTTTTCTCCTAAGGCAGCTCCTCTCGGTATTAGCACAGCAGGTAGTGTACATGCTGCTAGACAGAGGCTGGGTCTTTCCTTTCCTTGAGCCTCCTCTGTAATGGCTTTTTAAGAGCAGCGTTTGCTGTGTTTTTACAGTGGAACATGAGTCTTGTATAGACAGAGTTTAAAAAAAAAAATAAAAGGGTGGGGAGGGCTTTCTTCACATGTAAGTTACTTTTCATCTCCTAATGTAGTAAAAGACTAGTCTTGGCTGCTGTTGTGGGTTTTTCTAAAGTCATTGCCTTGTTCAGAATAAATGGGAAAAGTAATAATAAAAAAGTGAGATGAGAGCATGTCAGATCTGGGAAAATGGAAGGAGGGAACCTGGGAAAATCCCTCTTCTTACATGGATTCACTTATACACACACACAAATACACACAGCGTTTAGAAGAGCGGGATTGTGTCGGCTGTACTGTAGTAGTTAGATGTGGTGCAACACTCGGTAATGTTTAAACCCCTTTCGTTGGGCTGTTTGGAAATGACATGTGCTACTACTGTGCCCGGTAACGTGCCAGTAAAACATTGGCCTGTGCAGAAGTGCAGCTGAATTATGCCCTTGTTTAATCAAAAACCTCCTCGTTGGGGGCTATCCTAAAAAAAACCCCAGTCACACTGGAGGGAATAAGGTTGGCGGGTGACCAGCTGCAAATCGGAGCTCACAAACTCTGGATGCGACAAAACCGCGCAGGACTTCTGGCGTGATCCCTGCAGCGTTTATTCTTTGCAGTTGACCACTGGGGAATGCGCTTGCCGCCCTTCTCGCTCCTGTCACGCTAGGGGCTTTGTCAGATCCGAATACATCGCTGCTGTGCTTCTCTGCATCCCCTGACTTGTCACAGGCACAAATCTTTTTCAGATGTTCTCCCCTGTTCATTTCCATTATTATGTCTGCTGCTTCTGGGTGGCAAGCAAAAATGAATAACCTTGTAAATGTTCCCTGTCTTTCAATTTGTTTTATTTTTCATGCGACATGTCAGTGCATTTTTGTTGAGTGTTTTTAATAAGATGAAGTTGATGAAAATAAATTGCTTTGCAGTTCCTGCTGTGGGTGACAGAAATGCTGGGTCTGTAATTTTCCCAAACTGTGCATTTGAAGCCAGTGTAGAGGGTGTTCTGTATGCCTGTAACTACAATCATCCTCATAAGATACCTTCTGGGGGGGGTGAAAAAAAACCAGCTATCAATTTGAATTTAGGGGGCAAGATGCACTGCTATATCCAGCTTCTGCTGGGCACGGTGAGAGAAAGCCGTCAAGGAGAATTTTGGGATTGATTCTGCGCCAGGTTTGGGTCTGCCATATGGGAGATTAAACCAGATCTGTCTTTAGTACGAGAGGGAGAATGAATTAAATAGCAAACGCACTTATCGGAGTGTCCTTTAGCCAAGGTTTGGAAAGTTAGGATTGGGACTTGAAAACCTAGACACTCCAGTGCCCATGGCTACTGCACATCATTTTTTTTCTGAGCCTATCTAATCTGCTATCAATAATCTTGCTCAGAAAATGTGAGGCAGGTAAATGGTGATCTCCAGATTACCAACCTATAGTTAGTAGATGGGCTGGCAGCTCCCTATCTCCTCCTGGAGAGAAGGTAATCCATATATTCTAAATGCGATTTCTGAGTCAAGATTTTTTTCTTTTTTCCTCATTTCAGTGGGGGGAAAATACTGACAAATTTACCGTGTTTTTAAATTGTTTATATTTTGATAAAAATTTCAGAAAAATATTGTTTTCCCTGAAGTTTTGAATTTCAACATGTTGTCCAATTTTCTATGCTTTTGTCATATTTACTTAGCTGTCAAGACAGTGCTAATGTCTGTCTCTTGGTGCATTTTCTGCTGCATTTCTGTCGGGTAGGAAAATGCTGTTTTCCTTTTACTGGCTGGGAACAGACACACAGAAGTCACACTGGAAGCTGCTGTTGAAGTAGGACGTCAAGTCCCACTCTTGCAATTTGAAGGCTAAGGCCATTATCATTAAGTCAATTTTACTTTCCTCAGAAAAATTTTTACTCCTTCTATGAGTCCATATTCTGGAATCTTTAAAAACAGGATTAATGAAACCCCCAAATTTATAAGACTATTTTCCTCTTTCCATTTCAAATTTAGAAATTTCCTCCCAAATTATGCTGCTTGAGGTACAGAAAAGACAGTAGTCTATCCTGGATTAATTATTTTCACTGCCTTCTCAAATTTGAATAGTTGGATTAATAATACCAGTAATAAAACCAACTTACTATAAAGCAAAGCATTGCGAGATGTGGATCACACAGTCCTGTCCTGTCTGTTGCACTGTCTGTGGGGAGGAAGGGACAGAGAAGCATGCTCAAAATTTGGAAAGATCTCTAAATCTTGTTTGCAAGTTTTCTAGTGGTGTATCTCAGATAAACTGCTTTGAGAGCTCTATTCACCTTTTTGATGATGCTTTACAGAAACCACCTTTGAGATCCCGTTCCTTGCCACGCAGCTCTGGAACACATTTCATCGGAGTTAGTCAGCAAGGGAGGAGCAGGGGTTTCTGCCTCTGTTACGGCGTTTATGGGCATAAAAGCCAATAAACCATAGTGCCAAAGGAAAAAAAGTGACTTTTCAGTAGAAAATACTCATTTGTTGTTTATGCTTGCTCTTTCAGATCCTGACCAATAAATCTTAGCGCTTGGTTTACTCTTTCTCTGTTAGGATATTATATTCTAGGCAAACAAGCAAGGTGACAGTGGAGCAGAGAATCATAACAGAGATGGAAAAAGTCCTTGGAGGTTTTCAAACAATCCTATTGCCAGTAGAAGTCTATTGCTTATCCTATATTATAGCTGGTTTATTTTTAAATGGTTCACTTGACGGCGTCCCTGCTGCTTCCCTGGGGTAACTTTCTATGCCCACTCTTAGGCCATGTTTCCAGAGATTTAGACCCTTCTGCTTGGCTACTTCCCATTACCCCTGCTTACAGCAACAAGATGGCCCTTCTGTGGCTAGCCCTTTCCTTTCAGAAGATTTTACTCTTCTCTGACTTCTAAAAGTGCTATGTGAAGACTGGGTTTTCATGCCTCGCTCTTAAGGCCCCGTTTGCTGCGTTTATTCACCCAGTGCCACGTTCTTCACCTGGGAGTTGGGGGGCGGCTGCTCCAGCAAGTCGCTGCTCTTCAGCAGCAAGAGCTGAAGCCCTTACGTAGGCTGCACACATGTAGTTCTTTTGATCTTTTATCATAATTTAAACTGTTTAGCTTTTTTTTTTCTGAATTCCCTCTAGTGTGTTGCTATCTGTCTGGTTCTCAGGTGTCCAAGTCAGAACACTATGTGAGCGCAGCTTTGCCAGAGCTGTTTTATAAAGCGACTGTCAGCTTAGTTAAGGGACCTGAGGCTCCCTACTATGCAGTCTTGCTCTACAGTAGCTTTTAGAGCTGCCGTGAAAGCTTAGACCTGATTTTTCTCTTCCTCCCCTTCTGGTCTTTTCAGTCATTTTTGGTTCCCAGATTCTCTCTCACTTATCCATCCCTTTGCTTTAAATCATTGGCATGTCTGAAGTTTGCAGAATCCCTGTCTAAAATATTAATCACTCCTAATTTTAAGTTCTGATTCTCTTCCACTTTTCTTTCTGGAAGTATTCTCCTTGACCATGTGTAAAAAGAGGTTTGTTTATATATACGTGTGTGTGTGTGTGTGCGCATAAGGGAGTTGGCGTGATAGCGTGCTTACAAAATCCTGCCTTTGTTATTTTCTAGGTATTTGGTGCTAGAACATGTGTCAGGTGGGGAGCTCTTCGACTACCTTGTAAAAAAGGGAAGATTAACACCAAAAGAAGCCAGGAAGTTCTTCCGACAAATCATCTCTGCTTTAGACTTCTGCCATAGTCATTCAATATGGTGAGTACAGTCATTTTCAATAGGAATTACCTGTGACATAAAAGCACATAACAGTGGGATCTAATATCTTTGCACTTTTACTTACTGTTAAGTAACTAATGTTGTAAAGGTCTAAAAGGATTGTATAAAGAGCTGATGTATTTTTTAATTCTTGCCTGTCTGTGAGACTGCACGCCAGTCACAGATAGACTTTACGTGGAGAGGTTTGTCTATTGTTTCATATTGGAAGAGGATTCGTTCACAAGGAATGCTTTAACCAGGAAAACGAAAGCCACAAGGGAAAAGCAGTTTAATTTCCATCATTCTTGGGGGCACTTGCCAATAACTGAGAATTATATATGCTGTATCAAAATGAGTCCTTAAAGGACCTTGGGACAATTACCACTACAGCAAAGTCATTTCATGGCTTCCTTCAGTTTTGGAAACGTGCTGGCTTCTGGCAACCTTGACTGAGTCCCTTCTGGGCATTTGAGTCACTCTTGCCTTTAATTTCCTTTCCAGTAGGGAATAATTTCCTTGATCAGACTGCTGTTGATACTTACTAACTCCATCAGATGATTTAACCATCAAGCGTGGTTTAACCTGCACTTTTAGGTGGTGTTTTAAATTGGACCAGTTTCTCCTTCATCTTCAACAAGTTCAGGTAATTTAAATTATACTGAAATTAAGTTGTTGCAATCAAGCTGAGCACAGAGTTTCTGTACAGCTGCTGACCCATAGCTGCCTGCTTATTTCTCAATAATGCAGCTCCTCACAGTTAGACTGGCTGAGAGGGACTATTTACATAATGTCTGCACGGCTGTTGCTCGGTAGCCAGAGACAGCCACCGATCCCCCTTCTCCAGTAGGCCGAGGGCCACTGGAGTAGAAGGATTTGCATAATCACTGTGTGGTTACTTCTCGGTAAACGTACAGTGATTTTCCATTCCCCCTGGTGTTGTGCTGAAAACTCCCAAATCAGATGTCTGTAACATAAATGGCCGCAGCAAAATGGATACCTACATATTTAACTTGCTCGTCTTGTCCCACTCCCTTTGCATTGCTGACTCTTTCCAACAGGATGTATTAATTTAAAAGCGAGCATATTTCTGATAAATGGAAAGGGGAATAAGAGCCTTTCTTGAGGATATATTAAGGAGAGCATACTGCTAGGGGAATGGACAGTTCAAAGAAGGTGGATTTGGGGATGAGGAAATCCTGAGGCCAAAGCCTACTACAGGGAAGTTGTTAATAGTCAAAGGAATTCTCACGGGAGTTGAGCGCAGGCTGCGTGCCCTGGCTAGAGGAGCTAAGTTTTCTCTGTTCACAGATACCTTGACAAATTTTATTCTCTGAATTCCACGGTTCTCCTCCATGCTGAATAACTGATTTGAGGGATCATGGTCTTCTCAATGTACTTGATTTTTCAGAACTCTCTGCTAAATGGCATTCCTTGGCATAATCCTTGGTAGGTTGTAGAGCTGTAATTCTTTGTGTACACTGGACAGCGTAACTGCTGCTGCTAGATCTGATTGTGTACATAGATGTTTCTGTTCCGTACTTGGCTTAGCATTTATCTAAGAAGGCTCAAAAATATTTAAGTAAAACTGAAGAGATATTATTTACTCTTTCAAATGAATGTTCCAAAGACAAATGAATCTCCCTTGTGACAGAAGTATCTATGGAAGTATGTGTATGCACATATGCACTAGTCCTTTGTGCTTGGGGTGGATACCTCTTGATGGTCCAGACTTTCATAAACTGAGTGAGGATCATGGTGAAGCTGTCAGACAGATAAGTACTTAGGCAGGTTTAAGGAAATGTGGGATTTCCAAGGCAGAGCGCACACATCTCTTGAGGAATCCATTTTCCACTGTTAAACATATTGGATTATGGGCAGTCTTGTTTAGAAGTGACTCCTCTGTCTCCTTGCCAACTCCCACTCTACCAGCATCTAGTGCTGAACAAGCGAGCAGTAAATCATGAGCTCTCCCTTCCTCCAGGTCACTCGGAGACCTGTGTGGTCCCTAGGATGATATTAGAATCTGCGTTATATTCTGAAGTCGTCATTACATCCTTTTCTTAAAATCGAAGCCTGCATATATGTATGTCTGTGCGCGTGTATGTGACTAAAGAAGTTAATGTGCTTTCCTAAGCAGTGAAGCCTGACCTTGTCCTGTCGTGGGGCAGTGAAATGACAAATCATCTCATCAGCTAGGTTATCCAGTTATGACCACGCTGAAAAATGAAGGCTTCTGCTTTGGTTAATGACTAAATGTGGGTGCCTCTAACCCCCTGGCAGAAGAGATTGATAGCCTGGTGTCCCCAGCCCCACAGCAGCGTCCCATCTTCTTCTGTCACCTCTCCAAACACTGAGAAATACCCGTGACTTATTTTTACAGCGGTACGTTATCACATTCGGCTTTCACTGCTCAAAATGTATCAATGCCGCAGGATTCCTGGATCAGAGAATCGAAAAGGGTTCCCCAGTGCTCCCAGCAGTAAAAGGCTTCTGCCGCTGCCGTGCGCAGAGGTGACCTGTATCTGCGGAGGCGTTTTCAGACAAGCATGCAAAATGGACTTGGAGCTTGCGTGTGTGTGTTTGGAGCTTAAAAGAGCAGGAGCTTTCTGTTCTTTCTATTATATTTAATGGAAAGGGTGGAGGAAGGGTAGAGGCGCCTCACCGCCAGGTGCAGTCACTGGTGGATTTTGGGATAAGGTTGGCCATGGGGAGAAGCTCCTGTGTAGCCCCTTGCAGTCTCTCTAAGGACTCTGCTGGGCAGCGTAGCGCCGTGGCGTGCTGCAGACCTGCAGGCAAGCAGGGTGCGAGCAGGCAGCGCTGTGCAGAATTATCGCCCGGCACCCCGAAAGCCGCGTGTCTGCGCTGCCTTGGCGCTGCGCAGAGCGGCCGGCTGAGTGACGCAGCGTTACCGCTGCTGGCTGCGGCTCTTCCTGCGCG